CCACCATGCCCAGCTAATTTTTTGTATTTTTACTAGAGACGGGGTTTCACCATGTTGACCAGGATGGTCTCGATCTCTTGACCTCGTGATCCACCCGCCTCGGCCTCCCAAAGTGCTGGGATTACAGGCTTGAGCCACCGCACCCGGCAAACCTGCATCTTTATATGCTTTCACATTTGAATTCAAACAGTTACACTTGGATTTCATAAACGTATTTCAGAGACTGGATGTTCAAGTTGAAACAGGTATAGATATATTTGGTTCATCATTAATTATATATTTATTATGTATTTTATAGATAAGTTGGCAGTTGTATTGTTCTTTTTGAAAGGATAAATCACTGCAGACTGCTTGTAAACAAAATTAGCATAGTTTCCTTTTTTTGACTGTATCATTCTGGTATCTGACTGATTACTGAACAAGCTGGACTTAGAAGAGTAATGGTAGAAACCAACTTACCAACTTTATTTTCTTCCCAGCACTCCCTTTAAACTGTACCGAGTGGGTCTCTTTTTCTTAACTCTGACAATGGGTCATACAAATTCCATAGCATTTTAGGTTACTTTAGTGAATCAACAAACAGTAGGATTTTCAGGTATTAAAAGATCCATTACAATATATTACAAACACACTGATCTTTCATCCCATTTAAAGCTTCTCTATTACTCATCTGTGATCAGACCTGAGCAAAATTAGGAAAAGTTTCAGGGAAAGGTGAATGTGTTCCATTCTGGGGGGTCTTCCTAGTTTCATGTCTTTCCTCCATAGGTGGGAACAGGTAGAAGGGGACAGAATCAGATAGCTGATGAGGGCAAGACACTCTTTGTGACAGTCTGGGAGTCCCATTTTAATATTCCCTAAAGGAATAGTAAAAAAGACAAAATATATTTTACAAGTGAAGTATGGAAACACTCAAATAGTAAGAAAAAATACAATAAGGTAATTAAGCATCCTATCTCTTGTGGGGGTAAAAAAAAGACGAAGATCTTCAGAAGATCCTTCTCACATATTCCGACTATGTTGGGTTGAGGCACTGGTAGAGTATCAGTGTGAATTGATGTGCAGTATCTTCTCTGAACAGGCTGCTATTTTCTCCAGTCTTTCTGTGGTGCATAATCTGTGGTGCATGAAAGCTAAGTAGCATTCTAGCTTTTTCTGGAAGGTAAACACTTTCAAAGTCAATTATCGGAGAACAGAATTCTTAGCAAGCATTGTGTCTAGTACTCCAAAATAGAAAGAAACCTAAAATATGATAAAAAGTTTGCTACCAGTACAAAAGTAAGGGAGAGAAAAGGCAAGCTAAAGTAAGATTTTCCTTAGAAAAACATTTGTGTTTTTAAAAAATTTTAGTGAAGTTATAATTGGACAATAATTCTGTGTAATTCTTAAAGCTATTTTAAAAACTATTAACTGGTGGTAATTCATTTGCTACTTGATTAATAAACACAGCTTTAGTGTTTTTATTGGCTTGAAAGTAGTACAGGGAAGATGTACACTTAATACTATGAGGTTTTCATAATTAATTTATATATATGTTAATAAATATAATTATGAAATGTTATATTACTGAATTCATCTTTAACAGGACATTTTTCTTTTGGTAGGATCATGTTCACAAGGATGGGCAGCATTAAAAAATAACTGTTATAGAATTAGCAAGGAAAGAAAGCCATGGAATATAGCCCAGGAACATTGTGAATTATCCTTAAGTTCTGTACACCTTGTGGATATAAAAAATAAAGAGGAAAAAAATTTTATATTTTCATATCTCAGGTCAAACAATCAAGTAATAATATGGACTGGTCTTAATGATATGAAGGTCAGTAAATAGAAAGAAATACATATATTGTGACAAATGAAACTTTATTATCTATATTCATTCATGCATTGTTTATTCATTAATTTCTTCCTTTAATAATTCAATACAGTTTCTCTTTCTATTGGTACTCCATTTTAATATATTTTATAGGTATCTTTTTTTAAACCTAATTTTAATTTTGGTATTCCCCAGACTATATCTAAGTTCATTTGAATGATCTCATCCATTTCTTCACTCAATTTACCACCTAAACCAATTATTCCTAAATTCTTTGTCTAGTCTCCTTTTATGAGTCCAGGCATATATCTAATTTTCTTCTGATTCTTCCTCTGGTACTTCTTGCAGACACTGTAACATTGCCAAGAGTGAGCTTACGTTCTCCTTCCAATCAAACCTGTTTCACTTCCTTTATTTTTCACCTCTGCGAACAGTACAATTATATGAACCCCCAAAACATGAAAAATGTTTTCCATTTTCTTCTTTTTACTCCACACATAAGACTTGTGAAGCTCAATTTACTAAAAGCAATACAGAAAGATCTTGTGATTTTATTTAACACTAGTGAAATAACACTTTGGAATGTCTCATGAAACTTCATTTGGTCAGCATTTTATAGAAAAACCCAAGACCTAACATAGTCATCTCTGTCTAGTCTGTGTTTTCTTCTTGACGAACTATTGGCATTTATTTCCTGGCACTCAAAGATAAATCTATTCTCTATGAGATATCCTTATCTATAGTGATCTCAGGCAGATCCTACCAATTTGATAGCAACTTTCCTGTGGAGCTTTGCATAAGCTTGGGAAAACCCCTAGGAATCTTTAACTGCGTTTAAAAGTTATTCTTTTGAGTTTTCTTTATCTTTTAATAGGCAATGAATAAAGTTCTAATAAAGATCCTCTGAAGCCCAATTCATCTTAGACATCTCAGACTCTCTCTCTCAGTATGTCAGTCTCTTTTGTAAGTAGACCCCTTAATGTGTATATAGTGTTTCCTATTGTTAGCATAATATATCTGGAAATTGGGGCACAGGGATATTCAGTTGCCTATATGGACATGCATCAGATGCTACCCTTAACCACAATATTTTGAGGTTGACATCAAAGTTACCTCCTACATCATAATCCCCATGGTAGGTTCAGAAAGTAATCAATCCTTTAAGTAAATCTGTGCTGAGTAAGTTAAAATTTGTTACTGGACTTCAAGGATAAAGAGTATGTCTTATTCAGCATTCCATTCCTAGTTTCAAATTGGGATTTGGTACTCGGCAAGAACCTAATGAATAAAAGATTAATAGTCTCTTTCTTCCATTTTGGGAGGCCTGCATAGGTAACGTTTATTTAGTTCTCACAACCGTATAGTTGTAAGGTGCTATCATTATTCCCATTTTATACAAGGAAAATAGATCTTTGAGAGATCCTGGGGCACATAACTTATCAATACCCATTCCAGGCCTTGAACCTGTATCTGTCTGACCAACTCTCATGCCCTAATCATTTGAAATACTGTCTTTGATTCTATGCCTATTTTTAAACTGTAGCAATACATATGCAATAAAGCAGACTTTTATGGCATTTCTTCATTGTGTTAGGTGGAATTTGAATGTACCATTTTAAAAGCTCTTTAAAATGTCCAGAGGAAACAGGTCTCTTTAATTCTCATCCATACAGCTAGGTTGGCACTGCACTTGATTTTTGGGGGATGGTCTGATAACCAAAATACAGACATAGTATCTGTTTTCATGGTGTTCATTATCTCTATAAGTACTACATTTATTTTTTAAGGAGCTGTTATGTGTTTGGTGTATTACAAACATACTCCCTAAACCTATTGAAAATGATGCAAAGTAGTCATGATTATTTCCATTGCACAGGTGAGAAAGTTTAGTTTCTAAGATTAGTAATTGCCCAAGAGTAGATAATAAGTGGCAGAAATATCATTAGGATGCACGAGAATTGGGTCAAAGTGTAGACTTTTCTTTTTTGCCACCCCTTTCAAGGAGGGTAGATATGTGACTATCTAGAGAGGTATTTATTACTTGTGAAAATTGGGTTGGTGACATTCACCAAGGACATCCTTTAGCAGGAAGTTATCAACAGCCTCTCGTGATGCATGTAATTTATTTGATGATTTCAAATGAAATAACTAACATTTAATGAATAATTTCTCTGTGCCTCATTGTGTTGAGCCTTTGAATGTACTGCCTCTTTAATCATTACAACAACCGTGAGATGTAGGTTCTATTATTATACTCATTTTACAGATGAGAAAATAGAGGCTTATTGTGAGATTTGCAATTTGCCTGAAGATGTATGGCTAATGAGTGAATGAAAGTGAACTCTGTCTCTAGCTTCTTCTTCTTTTTTCTTTTTAATTTTTTTTGAAATGGGTCTTGCTCTGTCCCCTAGGCTGAAGTGCAGTGGCTGAAGCAGAGATCACTGCAGCCTTCAACTCCTGGGCTTAAGTAATCTTTCTGCCTCAGCCTCCCAAGTAGCTGGAATTACAGGCATGAGCAATTGGCCTGGCTTCAGCTACTTTATCATGAAGGAAATCTACATAAAAATATTAAGGGATTGATGATTTTTAAATCTTAAAAAATTTTATAATAAAGTTATGACTAAAATTTTCAAATATACATATTTAAAATGCAGTGATTGAAGATAATGGACTTTTCCTTTTAATTGGCTTAATTTTTTCATTTTATTACAGAAAGAAGGTCTTCTTACATGGGCAGATGGATCATCTTTTGGCCTTAAGAATAATGAAATCTTTTCTTTTTCATTGCTAGCCAAGAATGAAACACATTGCTACATTTTACAGCAAAATCCAACTGGATCAAACTATTTCTTTACAAGATTTTTTGTCATGTTCCACTGCCATATATTTGTGAATATGAATGTAATTATTTTTATTACTTTCTTATATTCATGTATCTTTGTATTATTTAATATTTATTTCATTATTTTCATTATGGAATCATTTCTAATTAAAAATCATTCTCTTTCCTATTTTTTCGGCACCTTCTCTGCAAGAAAGCTTTTTGTTTTATCTAAAGGATGTTGGAACAACAGAAGTTGTATTTAGTTGGAATAATTTGAAGTTTTGGAATAATTTGAATAAGTGGGTGAAGTTGGGATATAAGATTATCATTACATATTCTTTAGATTATACAAAAGAACAACATTTTGAAAGCATGCCCCCAAATACTACAGAAAAAACAATTACCCAACTGTTCCCTGGTCACATTTATAGATTTTTACTCTTTGCAATAAATGGAGACAAAGACTACTTTAAGTCCAATATTCACTGTAGAAACACGTAAGTAACAAGACATCTGAAAACATAATTTTTAAAAATTTTAATACTGTCATTGGCAGATATTTTATGAGGGTCTGGTATTTTCTCATATAACTCTGAACCCACTTCTATATTTGATGATTTTAGGCTGGGTGTGATGGCTCATGCCAGCACTTCAGGAGACTGAGGCAGGTGATTGCCTGAGGTCAGGAGTTCAAGACCAGCCTGCCTAACATGGTGAAACCCTGTCTCTACTAAAAATACAAAAATTAGCCAGGGGTGGTGGTGCATGCCTGTAGACCCAGATACTTGGGAGGCTGAACCAGGAGGCAGAGGTTGCAGTGAGCCAAGATTACACCACTGCACTCCAGCCTGGGTGACAGAGCAAGACTCTGTCTTAAAAAAATAATAATAATTTATAATGAATGTGTTTATGTGTTGGTTTTTCTGATAAGCTACAAACCCCAGGAGGAAAGAAACTATGTCTTATTTGTTTTATAGTACCAGCTAGAGTAGTGCCTGTCTCATAGGAGATGATCAATAAATTTTTATGGAACTGAATTTCCAATATTATGGAATTTTCAATTTTATGGAGCTGAGAGCAGGAAAGGAACAGCTATGTATCCCTGTCTTTAATAGGCTCACACTGGAGAGAATTGGTAAATTAAAAGTAAATAAAACTATACAGCAAAATAATAAACTAAATATCCAACCAGTAGTGCATTTAATAAATACTGACTTGGATTCATACAGTAGATGACAGGAGAAGACTCATGACAAGGAGAGGCTTAGAGTCAAACTTGAAGGAATAAAAAGCATGTTGTGAGCAGAAGTGCAGAGATAAGAATTTGTGGAAGAAGACTTGTGCAGATTGACAAAATAATTTACTTGGGTGTGAAGGTAAAATCAGTGTGGGAGGTAGATGGTGCCAGATTTGGGAATGCCAGGGGTATCTGTCTCAGATACTTGGGTTTGAACTTAAAAACAATGGAAATCCATTAAGATTATAGTTTCTAACATTTGTTTTACATTTTACAAAGCACTTTCAATGGATTATCTCATTCAGTCCTTGCCTCAACCCTGGGAGTAGCTATATAGAAATGAGAAAACTAAACTTCCAGAATGTTAAGTAAACTGACTAGAGTAACATGCTTTGTTAAGCAACCAAGCCACACAAGAACCCAGATCATCTTATTGTAACTCTTGAGCTGTTGCTCCTAGAAAAAGAATCAATAATGTGTTAGTACATATATATTGAGGAATGGGGGATGAATATATGTTTGAGGCCATGTGCAAGGTACTATATTAAGAAAAGTAATCTGGAAGCATTCATTAGGACAATCACTGGCACTGGATGAAATGGTTAGAGTAGGGAAACATTTCTATAAGAGGATGAGTGCCTGTGTAGCAGTGATAATGAGAATGAAGGGTGAATAACAAAGTTTCTGCCCTCTAACCTGACAAGGCAGAAGAGGTAATATAATGTGTGATCACTGAATGCCATACATGCCGTTTTGGTGGTAAGGATAGTAATATAATTATTGAACAACAGCACGTGTCAAACACTGTGCCGAGTGTTTTACATTCTTCATCTCATTTAATCTTCACGAAAGCTTTACGAGGTACCTACTGATATAATTCCTGCTTTACAGTCGAAGAAGGTAGGTAATTTTCTCAGGGAGTGAAACTTGAAAGTGGAAGAGCCAGGACTGAAACCCAGTGTTTGTTTCCTTTCCAAGCTAGAGTATCTGGAAATACTGAAAATTGAGAGATTATTCTGCCAAATCATGTCACTAATACAATGTATTTTTTGGATGTTTTTATCTCCCAGGCCCTTTGTCAGCCCAAAATTTCAGAGTGACACGTGTTACCCCAACAGAAATATTTTTACACTGGGATCCTCCAGAGCCTGTATTTTTTCATCATTACCTTGTTACTGTTTTGGATGTTGAAAACAATACATCAGAAGAGGTGTATGTTGAGAAACACAACACAGCAACAATAATTGGAGATCTTAAGCCTTTTCATCATTATCTAGTATATCTATTCAGTGTAGCAGAAAGAGGAACTTTAAGTTGCTTGGAAAAACCACTTTCAGTCATTACAGGTAAGCATGGCTGCATGTTGCCTTTTACTCAAAAACATCTAAACTGATAGTTTCTGTTTCTATTTCACTGTTATACAATATTTCCTTATAACAAGCCTGCACACTTACCCCAAAATCTAAAATGATAATAAATAGTATAAACTGCATATTTCAAAGTATAATTTTGCTGATATTTTACTATGTTAATTCTTCACAAGTACAAATAAAGTTGAACATGTTTTTGAACGTTGAATCACAATTCTAAGCATGTATTCAAAATACTAAATTTATTTAGATTTACATGAATTCTTTAATTATTCCAATCTGCATTTTTTTTCTACCAAAGTCCCAGAAGACATATTCTTTGTCATAGCCTTAGGTGGAAAATAAATTCATCTTTATTTATCAAAAGATAAACAAATTATCATATGAATATTAGTTCACCAAATTCTTTTTAGTAACACTAGACCCAACGAACAGGTCTGCATATTTTAATCAGTTGTACAGTACTTGGTTCATTATTTTCTCACACAGTGTAATGTGTTGACCTCTAGGGGGCAGTCTCATCATGGCATTTTTGACAAATGTATTTCTACCCTCCTCTTAACCTCCACATAGCAGCTTTTGAATCTTTGTCTGGAACATAATCATTAAAGTAATCGATTGTTTAATTAATAATTCTATTTATTCCCTAAAATATAAAAGTATTTTTTAAAAGATAAAACATTTTCTTACAAAACAATGCAAAGCTAAGCACATTTTGGCAGTATATCCTTGTAAGTGTAGTGTGTGTTGTTTGTGTCTGTGTATTTGTCATGCTGTTGCAAAGTTCTTTGGAATTTCAACAGCCAAAATTAAAACACCCTATGGCTGAAGTAGGTAGAATGAAAAATCTTCATGTGCACAGCCGTAGATTAATTAACCTTCCTATACTTATTGGGAATATTTAAGATTCTTTGAAAATAATAACAATAATAGATACAATTTAATGCTTACTAAAAGTCAGTGCTTAACATACAAGTATTCAGTATTGCAAATTCTAGTAAAAATATTTTTCCAATTGGATACTAGGTAGCAGATGTTTTCTCTTCCCCAAGCTCAGACAAAGTATCCTTCCACTGGCAAATCCTTGTTTGGTTGGGTCATTCACACTTTAGGAAGGCACTTTCATTTTTAATTGACAGATGGACTAGGAGGATTTTTCACATATCTATTAATTTTGAAGTCGACTTAAAATCTTCTAGGACTTATACCTATTTATTTCATAAAAGGTATGAGTCTGCATTATTAATTTTTTGGGTCATTTACTGTGTATATTTACTGTAAGCTGATAAACCAGTGCATGTCCAGGATTTAGTAATCCAGTGTTCCTTTACTCTCTTAAGCTTGAGGCAATATTCTTTTTTCCCAAAGAATATTCGTTATTCGTTATTCACTCAATGAATTATTTTTCAGTATTAAGAATTGAGCTAGGCACTAGAGATACAATGATGAAGAAGACCTAGTCTCAGTAGATTTATGCACTAATGAAATGAGACAAATAAGTTAACAGTGATAGCGCTGCATTATAATTATCATTATAGCAGTTATGCTCTGGATACTATAGGAACGTAGAGAGGAATCAATTAGCCCAAACTCAGGGTGCAGATTGTCATGGGTAAGTGATGTGCTTAATCATAAAGGAGTAGAAATTGGCCAGCAGGTGGCAGTAGGGAGGGAGAAGGATGCTGCAAGTAGAACAAACGGAATGTGCGTAGGCAAAGGCCAGAGAAAAAGCATTTCTAAGCAGACCTAGAAAAGCTAGAGGAGGCTTTTTTCTTTTAAAATTTATTTATTATACTTCAAGCTCTGGGGTACTTGTGCAGATCATACAGGTTTGTTATATAGGTATACATGTGCCATGATGGTGGTTGCCTGCGTCCATAGTCCCATCATCTACATTAGATATTGCCTGTTTCTGGCTGGCTGTGGTGGCTCACGCCTGTAATCTCAGCACTTTGGGAGGCCGAGGCAGGTGGATCACCTGAGGTTGGGAGTTCGAGAACAGCCTGGCCAACACAGTAAAATCTGTTTCTACTAAAAATCCAAAAATTAGCCTGGCGTGGTGGTGCACATCTTTAATCCTAGCTACTCAGGAGTCTGAGGCAGGAAAATCGTTTGAACCTGGGAGGTGGAGGTTGCAGTGAGCCGAGATCGTGCCATTGCACTCCAGCCTGGGTGACAGAGTGAAACTCTGTCATAAATAAATAAATAAATAATGTTTCCATGTTTTTTCTTAAATATGATTAATTAACTCAAGTAATCATTAAGCAGTTACTAGGGAGGGAGAAAAAATAATATTTGTAAATTGAATACATAAATACAATAAATATATGTAGATTGTGATAAATACTAGGAGGAGAAAGGAAAGTGATGCAATAGAGAGTAGTTGAAAATGGATGGTGGGTTCTACTGTAAATGGGCTGCAATGGAAGGAGGTTAAATTTGAATGGAGGCCAAAGGATAAGAAGGAGCTGGCATGGGGCAGGATAGAGAAAGGGTACTCCAGGCATGAACACAAGCATAAAGAATGCAAGACAGGAAAAGAGCTTAGTGCATTTAAGAATAAAAGAGGAGTGTATGTGGTGCATCTAATCAGAAGGGAGAAAAGTAGAAAGAAATGATCTTGGAAAGGCACTCAGGGGTGAGATCACATAGATCCAGTAGGCTATGCTTTTGAGTTTGTTCTGAGGGAAATAGGAGCCATAAGGGTCTTATGCAGGAGAGTGGCAATCTTACCTATGTTTCAAAAATTTCCCTCTTGCCATATGTAAAGAATGAATTGTAAAGCAGCAAGGCTGAAAGCCAAGGAACTAGGTAGGATGATATTACAGAAAACCAGGTAAAAGATTATGTTAATCAAGGGTAGGGACAGTGCAGAAGGAAAGGAGGAGACATATTTTATTATGTGGAAGTAGGAAGTCCAAAATGGGCTGCTTTTGATGAGTGAAGAAGGGGAGAAACTTAGGTCTTTGACTTGAGCAATTTGGGTGCTTGGTGATGACACAGGAAGAGAAAATTCTTGGATCTTACAGGCATTCTAGCTAACAATAAAGGCAGTGTGATTGAAAAAATAAGAATTGGTCCAAAAAATTATGCGATGATATTATCCACACTCAACCAGCACTATGTCTTCCTATTTAACCATCCAAAGACTAAAACTAAATGTACACGTGGAACTTCCATGCTTAAATTTCTAAGAAAAGCTACCTAAAGATCATTATAATATCAAATAGTTATAAAAGAGAAGACTAAGAAAGAGATATTGCCATGAAGAATTATTTCATGCCTATAAAACAACCCACTAAATACTTATTGTCATAGCAGAAGGAGTAAACTGTGAAGATGGAAAATGATTTTTCTTCTTAGCTCATTTTTTAGCAGTCTGAGGTTAGAGAATATCCCCATATCATCCCGGCGCCTGTTTTATCTCTCAAAAAATTTGAGATATTGAATACATTATTTCTAAATTTCTTTCCTGATCAAAATCAAAAGACTTATAATTCTTTGCCTCTAGGGTACTTAGCATATTTCAATCCATCTGCCATCTAAAATATAAACTTGTTTTACCTCTCTTTTTAGACCTCTTGTGAAATCTTGTTCAGCTCCATATCTCCAGCCTAAATAGAGTTCCTAGCTGTATGTAGTTCAACTATTTGTTTTTCAAACTGGTATTCAACATGGATGCAAATTCTATGAAGAATAATAGCATTTTGGGGTTTGTAGTTAGGACAGAGATCTTGCCAATGCTCTCATGGGACATATAATTCCCAGCACAGTATCTGTGGTCATTCAGGGCTCTGTAATTTGTTTCCAAAATTTTCCCTGTCATGGACCTAGTCTGCTCTCTAGAACATGACAAAGCAAGTCCACTCTATGGTTCATATGGCAGGCTGCAAATGTTTAGAGACATCCATAAGGTGTTCCTGGTTCCTGTATTTTCTTTCCTTCTGGGTAATTATCTTTAGTTCCTTCAAACACTCTACTATTTCTCATGGGTGTTCTATTCAATTCCTATGCTGGCGATCAGATTTAGCATCACCAGATTATGTATCAGGCAGTATTTTTATTGCCTCAAAATCCTAAAGCAAATATTAATCTGTCCCAAGGTACAGAGGAACAAGTTTTTTGCATGTATTAATTCAACAGGTATTTATTGATAAACATAATTCACCACATTGTATTTCTTTCTCTGCCCTATACTTTGAAATAGTCAAGCAAGAGACGCATTTGCCTTTTATGAGCGTGTAGAAGACAATAAAATTTACACGTACATTTTCTTCCCTTTCCCCTTTGAAACTTATCTGTCTGTGCCTCTCTCTAATTTGTCCTAAACATAACCAGCAGAACTTGATCTTTGGCTATGACTGTGCACCTGAACCATAAAATGTGCCCTTGGGAAGAAGGCAGTGCTTATGAGCACGGACCATGGAACTAAATTGCCTGAGTTTAAATTCCAGCTCCATGACACAGCAGCTTCTTACATCCTTTGCAAAGTCACTCAAGCTCTTTGGTTCTCAGCTTCTTTCTCTCTAAAATGGGAATAATAATAAGCCTATCTGTTTTATGAAGGTAATGTAACCAAATGAGCACTGTGAGAGTGTTTGTTGTGATTTTTATCTCTCAGTAGGAATGGAGTGGTGGCCTTGGGGAGCGATGGCCATGAATAGTGGAAGTAAAGCCATTTCAGCAGTCTGTGTGATCTCTTTGTTGGAGGAATTAACTATACCCAGGTTTTCTTGAGGGAAAAAGAAATATTGGAGAGCTGGTGTTTGAGTTCCCTTTTTTCCTCTCTTGCTATAGGAGAATAAATTGTATGATAGGAGCATCCCTCAGACTTCCTTCTACCTTGCCTATAAAAAAAAGCCTTTGAATTTGCCCTAGTTCTGTTCATTTCATATTGGAAAAAAAAAACCTTATATGGCCCCTGATCTTACTGTTTCTTTTGATAAAGCTTTTGCAGGACAAGGAATAAGGATAGAAGTCACAGTCCAGAGGTAGAAACCTGCAGAAAGTCCCCAATATGTGGCAATATGTTTCTTTTATTCTTTTGTTTTCTGAAATCTTTTCTCATGTGATTTTTTTCTAGATCAGGACATATTTTTTTAAGACAAGACAAAACTCTGTCCTCTTCTACACCTTTCCAGCCTTGGTGACTCTCTATAGTCTCATGTGTTACCCGGTTTAGCTTATTTCCTGGACAGGTGGAATTGATGGAAAACCCCATGCTTACCTACTAGAGGGGGTGACATTAATTTTATAGACTTTCAGAACCTACATTAGATCATGCCTGCTTAAAGTCTCTTCTCATTTTAGAAAATGCCTTCAGTGTCCAAGAGCATGGAAGTGAATTGGTTCTGTGATTATACTCATCATTCATTTCTCATCCCAAGACCTTTTAATTCCTGCTCAAGCCACACATGGAAGCTTTCATAGATCACTGCAGACAAATTCAGATGTATTAGTTGTGTGTGGGATGTTACTCTGGTTTTGGAAAAGTCAAGAGTAACTTGACTTTTGTTTAACTGAAGTAGATTTTGGTGTGCTTTATTTAATGGTAGCCTAAGAACCTGAAGCAATTTGCTGTGCAGAATTTAAAGAGAAAACCCACAGAAAATATTGGTGATGATGGAAAAATAAAAGTTAAAATAATATAACTGGAGAAGGAAAACTATGATAAAAGTGCGTTGGAACCCAGTAGTACACCATATGGAATTGGTTATGGTTCATTTATTGAACATTTACTCATCACCAGCAAGAATGGAAAAGGCAAAAAGTTGCAAGTTACAGCTCAGAAAAATTTGTGGGCTATTGTATTGATTTTATGTTCTAGAATTCTCATTATAGGTGTGTGTGGACATTATTTCATAAAGTACTGGCTCTGGGAAAAGTAGCAGAATAACATTATCAAGTATTTTTACAGTAACTTGGAACAGCTTCCATTGCATCAAACCAGATGTCACAAATAAAACTGAAAAAGAAAGTCCATCTAATTATGCTGTGTAGGGAAAAAAAATCTTTTTCAGAATGTATATTTTAGCAGAAGATATCTGCTTGGGAGAAATGCAGGCTTAAGGAAATACTGGATGCTATCCCAATAATCCACAAATAGAATTGAAATTAAAATTGACCTGAGGCAGAAATAATGTGACTAGGAATTATCTCAAATTTTAAATCTGCTTTAAATATCACAGTGGAGAACTGAGATACAATCAAAATCTTTAGCAGAGGTCAAAGAGAGTGTAAAATGTAAATAAATCCTTCCTCCAAACTGTTGCCAAAAATGTGTTTCTAAAAATGAAATTACATGCCTGATGAAGATCCCTATTGCCTCCAGGATGCAGTCTGACCTCCACAGCATGGCATGCCAAGCCCCTTGCCGACAGCATTCAGCCCTTGCATGCCCAGTCTCATTCCTCCCACGCAGCCCCTCTTTTAACCACCCAGAGTGCCTGCTGCATGCTTGACGCTATGCTAAGTACTTTATATATGAATACAATTTTTTAAATTTAAATTTTTATTTTTGTTTTTTCGTGACAGAGTCTTACTTATCTCCAGGCTGGAGTGCAGTGGTGCAATCTCAGCTCACTGCAATCTCTGCCTTCCTAGGTTCAAGAGATTCTCCTGTCTCAGCCTCCCGAGTAGCTGGGATTACAGGAATTGCTACCACACCCAGCTAATTTTTTGTATTTTTAGTAGAGATGGGGTTTCACCATGTTGGCTAGGATGGTCTCGATCTCCTGACCTTGTGATCCACCTGTCTTGGCCTCCCAAAGTGCTGGGATTACAGATGTGAGCCACTGCGCCTGGCCTATGAATGCAATTTCTTATGTAATCAGCACAGTGATTCTGCAACGTAGATGCTAGTCTCCTTCCCATTGTAGAGAAGACCAAGTCACAGAGTGGCTAAGTAACTTACCAAAGAAAACCCTGCTATTAAAGAGTTAAAAGAACTTGGTATTCCTTGAACACATGGCAATGTCCGTTTTGATTTCTATGCCTTTTCCACGATTTTCTTTATTCCTGGAATTCATTCATTACTCCCTTTTCCTCTTCACACATAGTGTTTCTGGTAATCTTGTACTTTCAAGAGTCAGATAAAATATCTTCAACTCTGGAAAGCGTTCCCCAAAGGTCTCTGCTAAAATTGGTGATTTCCTTCTCTGTTCTAAGCAACTTTTTATTCATGTCACTAGCACAGCTCTGACTATTTGAGATTCTAGTTAGTAGTCTATGAATCTCTTTCCTGAGATTGAGAACTCTTTGCAAGCAAGAACCTGGCCTTATTTACTTTATTTGAGCACTAATCCTTGTATATAGGTTCTCAAAAACATTTACTTAATGAATAGATTAAAAGGTAAAAAATAATGAAAAAATCTAAGATTAGTGTTTCTTGAGATTTTTATTGAGAATCAATAAATGAAAGTTAATTATGTGCTTCTAGTATATATGTATGTATTGTCTGTCAGAATATCTACCTTATTTCTCTATCTAATGCTAGTATGGTAAACGTAAGTTTAATGTATAAACATTTAATATTCTTACAAATTCTGGAACGTGCTAGATAAAATGCAGAGAAATATGACTGACATTTTAAAAGTACTAATTTTAAATCTCGTTTTTATATTTCAGAGCCAAAACTAGTCTGGATTCTTATCCCCTATGAAAGTCATAGTACCTCTGTAATCTCATTTGTTCAAATGTCCAATGTTGGAGTGTTTGATGGCATACATATTGCAATTGAAGGAGGGCCAAATGTCACCATGCCTTTACACCATGATAATAAATTAACTGTTGACAATTTAACCCCAGGTACAGAATATAATTTCTTTGTTTCCATTATCAGTGGGACTAAATTAAGTGATACACATTATGTCCCTGCAGTAACAACATGTAAGTATTTTAAGACTTGCAAAGCTTTTTCTTTATTTCAATTTTGTGTACTATTTCAAACTAGTAGCCTACACTTAGTTTAATGCAATGATTTTCAAAGAACTTTTAAGATAATTTTAAATGCCTCACTATTGAACCAGATCTTTCATTGCCTGTGTACAGGTAGAGCTAACTCTATGTGAAGTTGAAACTCTGTGAAGAAATTTTTTTATCTGTCCTTTTACAGAAAGAAATGCTTGCATTTTAACTAAAACTTTAAATGACTTTATTGAAAAGTGAGGGATGTGACTAATTTAAAGCCAATTATGAGAACAAGATTATATTTTTTGAGTCTAGGAGAGCTGATAATATCTTAGAGCACATGATCTAAGACTGTGCTTACTATTCCCATACTGACATTTGTTTGGAAAAAAACTGCATATTTTCCTAAGCTTTTTGAATATTGAAAATTAATTCTTGTTACTATACATATGTGCTGTGTATTTGTTTATATAAATAGTTGCATTTTTAGAGTCATTTTTATTTTCTCTTTAAGTCACTTAAAAATTCTGCATATATTAACATTGAACATTTGGAACACAAACAATTTCTCTAAAATGTCCATCTGGTATAAGGAGAAATAAATAATGAAAAGTAATAAATGCCATACAAACAAAAATCTCATGGAGTCCTAAAAACGTAATTCTGACTTATAACATGTTCAGTTTTCTCATTATTTGCTTTTTCTGTCTCTCTGTATATCCACCTACATCATTAGGCTCCCATGTACCTTTTTTTCCCCACAGGTTGTAACCTTTCCATTTCTGTTTAAATTCAACTTGTCTATAAAATATTCCCAAACTGATGTCAGAAATCACATTATTTTAATAGCATTTTAGCGTATTTATAATCATTTGAATACCTGTTTATTTTTGCTTTCAACTTCTATGTACTTTTAATGTTTGTATTCTCTTCCTCTCTTCCTTACTTTTTAAGCCTTTATGGGCTACAGTCTTTATATTTGACAGTTCTTGTCTTTAAACAAAATTATTACATTATCTAAATACATCAATATTGTGATATCAATCAGCAAAATAAATCAATATATAAGATGATAGTTTAAAGCTGCCATTTCCCCACTTTCTGAAATAATGCTTTTCTTATGCCAGATTAAATCTTTAAAATGTGAAAAATAAACATTAATATTCATCAGATACAATTTATTGTTAGCTTCAGCAAATATTTGATACAAAGGGAATTCTTTCACTTCTTTGCCTAAATTCCTATTTCTTTCTCTATTGTGTTTTCAGCTTATGCTAATAGTTTGGGAAGTTTTAATCTCTTTTTTTTTTCTTTACATATTGTGTGTTTTCTTCAGTGAATTTGTTCCTATGTAATTTTTTTGCTGCAGAATCAAAATTAGCTGTGTGTGATGGTGTTTACAATGGCTTTCAGTATTGGAACTGATTACCATATTTTACAAACTGTCATTGTATGTGTAAATAACTATTTTTAATTAGAATAGAAGCATAGGTTAATTAATAAACGATTGCTCTTTTTGACATTGTGCTTTTTATTCCCTTTTAAGGGATAAGTTAAAAAACCAATTAGAAAATTTTCAAGAGGAATTTAAGTGTGTTGTATGTTTGGGTAGGTCTGGAAGCACCACTGAATATCCATGAAGACAAAGTTATAGACTTTTCCATAGAAATTCTCTGGAATCAAGCTGATGGGAATTTTCAGCATTATGAGATCACATGCATAAACTGTGCTGCTGCTTTCATGGTATGTTATAAATGGTTCTTGGAGGAATTAAACTTGAATTTTTCATGCTGAAATCAACATCACTGCATTTTTTCACTGGATAGTAGTGAAACTAAATAATTCCCAATTGTGTTCAATTGTGGAGCTTTTCTTAAATACATACATGATAATGTATTCTTTTGGATTGATAGGTTCAGAAGGTAGTTCCAGAAACAGCAACGTTCTCTAACCTGGATCCTGCCACAGTGTACACCTTTTCAATTCAGACTGAAAAAAAAGGTTTTAAGGACAGAACTCCTAACAGAAAATAAATACAGACAGGTACAGCCTATGTAGCACCAGAGGCATTTCTTTCATGTTCAAACATGTCCTTGGTCCTTTAAGGGAAGATTTAGTAAGTAGTTCATTCTTTTCAGGTTTTCTTTATGGGTAGTGTCTCTTGTATCTTTTATTTTTGTCCCTAGTATGGGTTATCACAACATCCTTTTAGTATGTATTGTCAGGTGGTAGCATTGCTAACTGCTTATGGTCTGGCCATAGTTTCCATGTGTGATTTAATGTCTGCATTTTTCTGTTAGGCCGACAGCGAAGTGCCACCTTGCCAGGACAAACAGTTTATTCTCATGGTAGTCATATGTAATAAAGGATGACTGGAAAGTAAGCATGCAAATGTATAAGCTGTCATACCTAGTAAAGTAAAATTGTCAGCTATTCTACTAAACTATTTTGGTAATCTTCACACTGGTGCAATGGGCACATTGGTTTATATATTTAGAACCTGGCCATGTCTGATATTATTTTACCGTATAGCAAAGAATGAGATTGAGAGAGTATATCTTCACAATTTTATTCCTTTCTCAAACATGGAAGAATTTTAAAGAGGAGACAATATGCCCATTATACACTATTTAACTTTTTTCCTCAGGAAAGAAGGGAGCATTTCATAGTTAGATTGGAATTAACTTTCTTACCAGTTAACCTCAGCACTCTTTGGTATTTAATTAGGATGAGTCCTAAAAATAATTAAATATTTCTGAAATCAGTGGTTATACAAGGCTAAGATACGATCTGCTTCTTGCATTTTAGAGGCCAGGGACATTCTGAGTACAATACTACTTGGACACATTTCTTACCCTTAAAGCATACATATATTTTATTTCAAAGTTGAAAATAATTCTGGCTGTTTTTAAACAGTACTTTTTACTTCTCGTATCTATCAGGTAGAATAAAAGGAGGTCATTATCCTCAGCAAACTAACACAGGAACAGAAAACCAAACACTTCATGTTCTCACTTATAAGTGGGAGCTGACCAATGAGAACACATGGACACAGGGAAGCGAACAACACATACTGGGCCTGCCAAGGGGACAGAGGGAGAGAGAGAGTATCAGGATATATAACTAATACTTGTGGGGCTGAATACTTAGGTGATGGATTGAGAGGTGCAGCAAACCACCACGGCACATGTTTACCTGTGTAACAAACCTGCACGTCCTGCACATGTATCCCGGAACTTAAAATAAAATAAAATATTTTGAAAAAAGGAGTGCTTTGGTTATCCTCAGGGTTTGCACAGAGTAAATTCCTGAGAGAGGTTCAGTGCTGGCAGGTGCTTTGTGCTATTGAAAATGTTATCTTACTGTCTGTTTTAAATGGTATAGCCCTGAGTGCCGCTGAATTTATGAAGCACAGCAGAGACCCAAATGCAGTAACTGTTAGCTGGCCTTTAGCTAGAGGTCTTCTGGCTGGGTACATTATTTCAATATCCAGTGAAAACTTAACGAAAGAAGAAATTTTTCCTTCCACTCAAAGGTATGAAAATATTGAAAATAAATTATGTCAAGTTACATGGAACACAAAATTAGCATTTTATATATGTTTTAGAAGACTGTCTTAATGGGTTATTATAAACAGAAATTAGAAAATTTTACAAGACAATTTTTGGACTCCAGTGTGATCGGAATAACTAAGTCTGACATATTGTAAAAAATTATTTCTGAAAATAAATAATAATGAATTCAGAATATTATATGTATATGTATGATATACACTCTTTTGACTTAAAATTTCTGTGAAGAGATATATGATTTTTAATTAACCAGTTGTGCTTAAGCATAGCAAATTATTTCCATGATAGATATTTTTAAAATGAAACATAAAAATTTTTCTGCAGGTGAGAAAATGGAGTTCTCCACATGTGTCTAAGCTAAATGTTTTAATGTGTCACTTTTCTTTAACTTGTAGGACATTCACATTTAATAGCCTTTCTCCAGGGACCAACATTTTAATTAGTATTATGTCTAACAAGGGACTGAAAAGAAGCCATCCTACTGTCCTCATGGTTAGCAATTGTAAGTTCATTTTATATTTAATTAACTTTTCATGGGCAAAAAGAGGAAAGAAATAGTTGTATTTAAGGCCAATGCCTACTTAGAAATTAATGACTAGAAAGTGGCTTATGATACGCTGGAAGAGAAGGAGCACTGCATTTACAGGGAGAATGTCTGAGATATATTCCTGTGTCGATCACTTATTAATTATGTTACCTCAGGCAAAACAACTATGTTCTCACTTAGGAAATGAGAATAATTATTACTACCTAGGTGAAATAACCTGTTGCTAAAACGAAATGTGAAACTCTTCATGAATGTGTAAGGTATTCTAAAGCCCTATGGTTTAATTGTCATGAAATAATATTTTTTTAGTATGTGGACTCCATTACCATTTTATGAAAATAAACTTGGGGTATAAAAAAATAGACTTTTTTTGAATTTTTAAATTAAAAATACTGTCGTTTGATTGAATTATTTGGGCTCTGTTTGCCTTTTCTGACCTTATTAGTATAACTTGACATATATGCTTGCTCTGAGCATATGCAGCTATTTCAGAGAGTCCTTTTACTTGTGGGGCCCAGTCCCATGAAAGTGTGTGCAATACCAAGGTCCTCTTAGTTATGAGAGGATGCTTCGTCTCAGAAGTTGCCTTGTGAAGGAAGGGAGGCACTTAAAAATGCAGCAATGGTCAAATCAATTCTTTGAAAATAAACTAAAAAATTTGAGGGATGATTATACACAAGTGTGGTATTATGTACTTCAGTCACTGTATCAAATCTCTGCATGCTACCCAAAATTAGTTTAAGACTCAGAGGTGTCCATAACTCATTCTTGAAGGTGAAATTTTAACCCAGGTATCTGAAGCTAATATGACCCTACTCCCTCTCATAAAGACCATTCAAAGAAACATCAGAAATAGATGAGAAAAATTTTTAATTTTTTAAAAAAGGATAGCTCATAATTATGTATCAGTGAAAGCTTAGTTTCTGCTTAGATTTGGGTGTTGTCATTCTCACTGTCACCGACATCAACACCATTGTCATCATCACGTTGATTGCATCACATTGAGAGCCTCTTTATCAGGTACTCTGCTAAGCATTTGCTATGTTTTATATCACTTAATTCAGAATGACAACCTTTATTCTACCAATCATAATGAGATGTATACTCTTAACATATTTTTCAAATGAAACAAGGCTTAGAGAATTTCAGTCACTTATACAAGATGGCAGAAATTTGAACTCACGTTTCTCTGACATCAAATTCTGACCTTGAAACCATTGTGCTTCAGTGGAAAGGTCACTATGTTATAGAAATGACTAACTCTACCCATTCTAGCTCTGTGACTTTGTGAAAATCATCTTCTGTTTGCGCTGCAAGTTCCTTATTTGTAACCTGGGGCTGATACTAATACTTTCCATAGTTTGTAATGTTGTTGCCTTTTTAACTACGTTGTTTTTAAACAAGGCTGGTAACTTTCTTTTATGTTTCCCATATTGCAATCTGTCTTTTGTCTTCTATTGTGTATTATTAAAATTTTTGTCTTTTTAGCTACCTTCATTTATTTGCAAACCCCCTCAAGTCAATTTGGAAGTAAATTAAATATTAATAAATGTACAAAATAGAGTTAAATATATTATGGAATAATAAATTCCAGCTGGAAGGGAATGTGCATTATAGAAAAATTGAATATAAAGGAGTATGAGTCAGTGACTCAGGTTTAAATCTGCCACAGGGATGAATTCTAACAAACTTAAATTAATATATATTTAGGGACAAAAACATCCCATTCAAAATTTGAATTTTAAAGGTGAAATTATTTTAATAAGATGTTAATATTACATTTCTTCTAGTTGAGGAAAGCAATACAATAGTTTAATTTGAAATATAGGTTTGAAATAGAGACATGTTACCAATTAGGAAAATAAGTTTCTAGAACCATCTCAGGTAAAGTGGTTCAGGGAAAAGGAATGTGAATTTAAGGAGGGGTTAATATTTTTTTCTTTATGCAGTATATAAATAATAAGTAAACAATACCAGTTGTAAGAACTTAAAATTGGATTCTGCTATAAGAAAAATAAATGTGAAAATCCATAATTTTATTATTGGAAGAAGCTTTCCAGAAAATTCTGTTTTCTCTTTTCTTGTAGAGATAGAAAGCCTAGACTTGGGATAAATAACTTGCGCATGGTCACATAGTACTAAAATTGACTGGAGATGCCTAGGTTTTATGTCTCATATATAGTACTCTTCAAAGTCAAGGTTATTGGTTCAGCCTAGATAACATAATGGTAGAAATGTCTTTTAAAAGAGTACCAGTGTCTTATTTCATTTCTTTAGATCCAGACCCATCATATTTGTTTATTTTGGGGCAAGAAGAAAACATGACATATTTGTCTTGGAAATTACCACAAGGAGGCTTTGAAAAGTTTCAGGTAAAGAACATTGCTGCTCTCATACCATCTTGATGTTTATTCAGGTCTTCATTTCACTCCTTCTTTTTGTCTTTCCTTTTACATTAATGGTTTTAGAAATTATTGTGCCACCTGTTAGTGTAGGATTTCTCCCCCAAGTTATTCTTGTATGGACTTCTTTAAAAGTACAGAGTTGTTATCAAAAGTTTTTAAATATGTGTAAAACTGATACCTGATTTTCAAGGAGCCTGGGTTTTTGGTGGACATAAACAA